TAAGGCTTCGGGCCACACCTATAACGGTCCACAACAAAGCCCCTTCTGAGAGGGGGAAGGGGCATGGGACGGCGTGCCATCCCCTGGCTACGCCACTGCACCATGTCGTTGTTTAACGTGTACTCTCACGTCGCCCCTATCGAAATTACCACGTGTTAAAAAACAGCGGGAAAAGGGGGAGGGTGGCTTATATACAAGAGCTCTGTAATCTCCAGTGTCAGGGGGTCATCGTCCGACGACAGGCCGTGTGGCGTCTCTACACCGTTTTTTCATTCCCCGAACAATCCAGCCGGATTGGGTCAGCACGGCGCGCGTCGCGGTTCTCTCGAAGTGCAGCACCGCTGTCGACGCTGCGGGTGGATCTTGCGACATATGCACGGTCAAGCGAGATGGACAGGCGACGGAAGCCGCAGCGCTCTGCGCGTACTGCCGTGGCGACGACGGCCTATCGCACGCTGCGACAAAAAACAAAAGTTAACGAGAGAAACGCGTACACAAACGGAACGACGCCACGGGGAGAGACGTGCGAATGACTCGACCACTTCTGGGACGGCGACAATGCCGCGGGATGGAGATGCATCTAAGCTGTAGCGGTGCCCACGCGTCTTGCGACCTACAGCGGTCGTGACGCGCGCGGACATTAACGGGCACTCGACGCCGGGAAGAGAAGAGAAAGCGAACGCTCGCACAGCGAAAACAATACGCGAACTTTGAAAGGAGAAACGAAAAATTTCCGAAAGGCGAAACAGTGACGCACTGTGCATCTTTTTAAATTTACTAGTTTAGCCTCATTGCCCTGCCTTGTTTCCGAACGCCATTATATTGCTAGCACCCGTGCTGTGGTATATATGTATGCTTAGGTGCCCCAATTTTCACACACCACGATTTAAAGAAAATAGTAACGACGTCACGCGAATGAAACCTAGGTAGGGCATATTGTTCCCGATATAGTGTAGTATCCAATACTAATTTTTTTTCGTTAACGAGAATTATTTAGTCATTATTAAAATTCTAATTAAAAATATTTGCCTTTTTATATAAATGCCAATGAGGCAGGTGTGCGCATATTAAAACAGCATCTGTTTGTGCACCTTTCAGCAACGTAATAATTGCGCGGCCCGGTAGCAATGTGAAGGAAAAAAAAAAACTACGAACCCCCTCCCTCCCCCCACCCTTCCCGAAGTTTGCATGGAGATGTGTGTGCTACCGAGGACATGAATAAAGAAAAACGTTTTTCAAGGCCTTTGACAGTGACCCCCCTACCCCCGGAAAACATTCATGGCTGCGGGCCTGGTACAGACGGTCTTTGTCGTTTTGGGGCGTAAGACAGAAAAAAGAGGGGGGGGGGGGGGTGCGCACTTGTAGTGTTATTAAGACGAAATCCTTATTGATGCCTCATCAAAACGGCAAATCTCGCCGTCGTCGAGGACAAATGATGCAAAAAAAAGTCATCGCGTGATGACGTCACAGATCCCGCAATTTGTGACGTGATCATGACGTCGAAAGGTTCCGTCAGCCGGGCAGGTGAGCCGCCAGTTCCGGGGAGGTCCGCGAGAGATGGGCTGGTGTCCTTTCACGACATAACGAATCATTATAAACTAAAGCGGAGGTTTTAACGACCCCCGCATAAGCGGTTGACTAAGAAGCAGGAATGCGTCTGGAGAAAACTGCAGACGCGACCTTTTCCCAACCCTTACGTGTTGAACAAAATACACCCGGAGGAGGTAAAGTCGCAATGCATATGGTGCCAGGCTGTAGCAACATACGATCACATACTTTGGTAATGTAGCATAGTGCAGCCACCGGTGGATATTATGCGTGATCCCTCTCTTGAGCACTGGGAGGCCGTGTTGACCAGATCAGACCCAGTCGTCCAGTTAAGGGTCGTGGAGTGGGCAACACAGGTCTCCGCCAATCATGGGTTGGTGGCCATCTAACACGGAATCACCCGCAGCTGCTTTATGACGAAATAAAGTTTTACTATCCATCCACCACGACGTCGCAGATTCTGGTGTGACGTACCACTCCACGATGCCGTTGTAGCGCCCTCCTCTGGGCGACGAGCAAAACAGGAGATCGCGCGACCCCGTGAGAAGGAAAATGAAGACGGCGCTTGGCAGTGCGGCACGTGTTACCAGCTTCCTTATACATCTACTCATAGGAAATAAGAAATGGCTTTCACGTTTAGAGTCATCTCATGTGAATACACAAGGAACCCAGTGAGTTTTTTTTCCCCCTTTTCACTCCAGCTGCGGCGATCAAGAGCATAAAAGAGAGTGAGAAAACGTTTCTAACCTTCGAATTTGACCAAAAACCAAACTACAATTTGGTGTTCCCTAGCGTCACATCAAACCGAAAAATGTGGAAGCTTACAGCAAGATCGTATATACGAGCTCCGGGCGCAGCCTTCCCCCACCTGGCGGAGACAAAAGAATAGCGCGAAAGACGGAGCTCGAGCAAAAAAGAACGCAAATAGCAGCTCTATTTGCTCCCTTCCTTTCTCTCCCGGCATCAGTATTCCGAGAAGTACGACATGTTATTCAGAAACGACAAACTTTTATTTGCAAATGTATGTACTGTATTTACACGAAAAGAAAGCACTTGCGCCACGGAACTATGATAACCAGCTGCTACGACTTAAGTGGCGAAGAACAGGCTACACTCGCGGTCAAGCGGATGGAGCTTGTATTTTATTGAGTTGTCACCGAGCAGAGATGACATACAATCAATTTTCTGCCATAGGTCTCGAATAACACTGATACGGACAGCGAAAGGCGCAGCTGTAACCCAACCAACTTTAAAGGCGCTCCTGGACTGCGTAATTGTACGTAATGAAAAAAAAAGGATAAAGCAACCAGCCTACCCCTTCTGCTTAACGTTAGCCTTTCCGTGTATGTGCTAAGGCAAACAAAAGGCGCTTTCTATTGAACTAACTGGACGGATGGCTCTATTGTCCACACGCGCTGCTACGGGCAAACATTATACGAGCACGCAAGAAGGAGCCCTTAAAAATAAATCCTGATGTTGAAACTCTCGCAACTTCTCGGCTGCAAATGCGTAGCCAGCATTTGCGTCCGCTAATATATAAAGTGCTTTGGTTCTCCTATAACGTAAATGACAGAATAATAATAAAAATAGAACATTGTTTACTACGAAGGTAATGGATCCGGGTGGACATTGGCAACATGCTCTCTAATAAAATCTACCAATATTTAAACGCTTCTATAAAAAAACACATTAACACAAATACACAACGCCGCGGTGGATCAGTACGGCTCTCGGCTGCTGGACCGAAGGTCGTGGGTTCGATATCGGCTGCGGCGGGAGCGTTTCGGCGGAGGCGAAATGGTAGAAGCCCGTGTACCTTGTGATGTTGCTGCACGTTGAAGGACACCAGATGATCGAAATTTTTGGAGCCTCCCCCCCCCACCCCCCATTCCTCACGATGGCACCTGTTATAGTCATATCGTGATATTGGTCCGTAAAACCACACCAATTATTATTATTAACACGAAGTGACACGTTGAGTCATACCTGTCCGAAACAATCAGCCGTCTTAAACTCATACGGAGTCTAAGTAAATCACTACCTTTTCTTCATTTTTTTTTATCGTGTCCATGGTAAGGTGGTCGAGGACTAGTTTAATTTTCGTGGCATAATTACATCTCAGCATCTTTTATTTTTTATTTCTTGTGTACACATGCGCCATGTCATGAAAAGCAAACAGCTGCTTACTTTAGCGTTTCCTTACTGCATATTTGTGTACACAAGTGTCATAATAAAAAGTGAATAGCTGTTCAGGTTGGAGTTATTACCGTATGTAAGGATAAAAGCACCAATTCCGACAGTTACAACTTTAACGAAGTACGTTAACAGCTATTAGTAACATTACTTGCTGCGGTTCTACGAGCCGTAACCACAAAATGATGAGGCGCCTCATAGCGGAAGATACCAGATTGATTTCGACCCCCTTAAAGCGTAATAAAAGGCACCAAAATAAGTCAACACGGGCACTCTTTGCGTCTTACGCATACCGAAATGCCGCGGCGTGACGCGAATCTGGCTTACATGGCGCGACAACTTACGCGCTAAACTGTATCACGGCCCGTTTTTTTTTTTTTTGAAAGCGATTGTGTCAGAAGACATATTTTGGGTATAAGCAGTGAAATCTGTCCCAATCGAACGGCCACATTCCAACTGACGTTTCTTTCCACCGGCTCATCTTGTTGACTGCAATGAGGCGTCGTGTATGAGGAAAAAAAAGTGCTGCTCGTTATGCCCAACCGGATGCGATGTAGCACGCATTTCGCGAGTGCTCGGCGGAGCAGAGGTAGAAAGAGCCATTCGTAATGAACGTTACCAACACGAGACGGCATTCAATACCAAGCATAGCAACACTGAACCGTAACCTGTACCTTGTTGACACGTCGCTAATCGTGAGTAACCTCGGCAAGTGAACTACTGTATACTGAGACAGATGTTCAAACACGAGGAAAAAATGGCGCTTCAAGCGTTCTCAACAAACGGCTCAGATTTCAGCGTTCGACATATATGCGAGAGAGTTCTGCGCCACGATTAAGGTGTCACTCCGAAGCTTCAACTCCCTCGCATCTTCTCCAAGGAACGTATGCATGGGCGCGTTACCTACTGATCCCTTCGAACGCTCCTAATCCTCAACAAATCGGCGTTCGACGGCAAACGCACACGTTATTTTGTTTATCACGTGAACTCCACGCACTGCCACCACCGTAAGCACCACATAAACGCACACGCCACCGGACCTTCGCTGTTGCAATCGCACAGGCTCAACGTACGCAGTATTCAGGCGTTCAATACATCGCAATCTTACTCAAGCTGCAAACAGAAATAGCGTTCATTGAGTTTCAGGAACGTCGCAAACGTCCTGCCACTAGATTCCATATGTGCACGCGTTTCCGTCAAGCGTTACCCAAGGCGTAGCATATGGACGTTCGTATCGGGGTAAGCGTTAGCATACTCACTCCCATCTGGCATTGCCTGCAGTGGTAGTATCCACCGCAGCCTCCATTAGTCATCCAAACGGGGGAGGCCGCCGCTGGCCCAATCACGTGATCGACGTTATCCACCAGCTGAACGGGTTTGGCGCGAGACGACCCCCAAGGTCGGCTCGCCACCACCTCGCCCTCGCGAAAGGGCATGGCTTCGTCGGTGGCGCGAGAGGCGAGGAAGTAAGCCGCGGCCTCGGCCCGCATTTTCTGCGTTCACCACGGCAGCGTCCTCCTCGAACGTCGGCGTTGCGTCGCAGACGCGGGCAGAGCTTTCACCACGGAGAAGGAAACGATAATATCGGCGCCCGCACTCGGGGAGTCCGCGGGCACGACTGACCGATCGCAGCATTTGCGAACAGCTGTTTGTGTTCGCGGAGCGAGCGGTACGGGAGAGAAGGGAAGGAAATAAATAAAGCGAGCATCACGCATTTCTCGCAGGTTTTCTCGTCCGAAAGAAAGACGCCAAAGACTGCGCGCGCACACGGACGTACGACGTAAGCGCTACGTCGTTGGCGAGCTCTCGACACGCTCTTCCGCCTGCGCCTATGGCTACAGCAGCAGGGCGTCCGGCTCGTGTGCTCCCCGGGCGCAAGCGACCGACCCAGCTCTCGCGTCAGAGGACCGCCGCTGCTGCCATGTCGCAACCCTCTCGCTGCGTCCTTTTCTTTCTTTTTCTCGCAGCACCCTCTCGGGGCGTCCCCGCGCGCTCTTCCCTTTCCCGCCTCCAACGGAACGCAAGCATCAGCCGCACGTGGAAAGGTCGTCGCGTGTTGCGCAACACACCTCGCGGTGATCAAGAGAAAAGAGGGAGGGGAAAAAAACGAAAAACAAAACTGCACGCGCTCCCTGGAGATATTTCCACTTCTGACCACGCACGCGGTCGCCTTCGTCGATGACCGAGAGGACAACACGCGCCTGTTTCTGCGCCCCTCCTCTGCCGTCCCTTTCCCATTGTTAATAAAGGGCCAACGGCTCGCAACAGAAGGTGACATAACTATGGCAAAAGAGCGTCATAGCGACAGAATAGAGCACGCAAGGCCTTTAGAGTTCGCGTTTGGTGCCGACACGCATGCGTCATACGCTGACCTCGTAGGTACACGCACGTTTCGAAAACATATCGGACGTACACAAGCCACGCAAACATTGCGAGCCCCAGTCTAATGCTCTCTTTCGTACATTTTCAATAGTGGATCAAATGAAACGATTGAATTGATTGATATGTGGGGAATAACGCCCCAAAGCCATCATATGATTATGAGAGACGCCGTAGTGAAGGACTCCGGAAATTTCGACCACCTGGGGTTCTTTAACGTGCACCCAAATCTGAGCAAACGGACCTACAGCATTTCCGCCTCCATCGGAAAAGCAGCCGCCACAGCCGGGATTCGATCCCGCGACCTGCGGGTGAGCAGCCGAGTACCTTAGCCACTAGACCACCACGGCGGGGCAAAGTGAAACGACTACAGACGTAGGTCGAAAACTCAAAAAAGCAATAAACCCTTCACAAAGCACGACCATTAAATGCGCTATAGATCCATGTGCTCAGATTAGGGTGCACGTGAAAGAACCCCAAGTGGTCGAAGTTTCCGGAGCCCTCCACTACGGCGTCTCTCATAATCACATGGTGGTTTTGGGACGTTAAAGCACACATGTCGATCAAATCAAATACGTTATAGATACTGCATTGAAGTGTGTTGAGAATAAGAGATATGTTATATGTGATAATTTAAGGGGACAATGGGTATTGGATAGCGAAAGGGTAGTCCAACACCTTAACCAGGTAAGGGCCCGTGCTTATTGCTATCTGTATCGTTCATTACTGTTCATACATGTTTATTCATACAGAAGAATAACATTACTGATATCGATCTCGCATCCGAGGTTTTAAGGATTGCTATCGAGGCGTCGACGTCCTAATGCTTCCTATTGCGGTGTCCTTTTGAAGTTCGGTCATGCTGCTTCTGAAAGAGCAAACCCTGCGCAGTCTTCAATCGTCACCCTATAACACTGCCCACCGACGTAATTTCTTGAATAACACTCTAAGTACTGCGCATAACATTCAAGACAAACTACGTACTAAAGGACAGTTATAGTTTAACACGCGCTACACCTAACGAACACAACGCGCGGCGCGTTGGGTACGCTAACGGCTGAGGCTGTCGCACACAGCGTTAGTTTGCCGTACGCGACAGACGAAACGTGCGCTTCGGGGTACAAAGACTTGAATTTGAGGGCTGCTCTGCGCCATCTATAGGCGAATAAACGAACTGCAGTAGCCGATGGACGCGGCATTTTTTTTCGCAGCAGCCATGCCGTCGACGTTCGCAGACCTCGAGATCTCGCGACACAGTCGCCAGTAAGGTACGCAACAGCCGTAGGTGGCACAAAGTCGGCGCCGATATCTAGCGTGCGCATCTCTTGCGCGCGTAAACGCACGCGTCTCTCTTAGGTTCAGCGCATGCGCAGTCTTGCTCTCTCTCGCCCTTTGCGGGTGCAAGGCCGTTGCGCGCGCTTAACTAATGGCTCCAGGCGTGTCAAGTCGCTCGAAGGAAACTTTTTGTTGTCTATTGAACGAACATAAGGCGTCACGGGTCCCTAACTTACAAGCGAAACGGTTTTGCCTGGCTTGGGCTAGTTGCGTTGGGTGACGAATCGCACGTTTTGTTTCATATACTAGCAGTAGCACTTCGTCCTGAAATGAGACACCGGGACCGTCAAGTCTTCGTTTTTTCTTTCTCTTTGGGCCACCTCCTGCAGCTGTTTTCATCGAACATGCACGCAGTCGGTGACAACTGGTAATTGTATACTTAATCTTGCTTTATCTATTCCATGCTTGTACTGCTGTGTTACACTTGTCTTTCATGTATTTGTATTTCAATTTCAATTTATTTCCATAAGAAAAAGAGAAAGGCTTGAACAAAAAGAGGCGATTCCCACTTGACAAAGATTCAGGCTCCCTTTACAAGGCATACAAGAAAGAGATACAACACACAAATATACGTATATACCATATTCCATATCACAGGAAGTGCAGACAATTGGCAAAACAATGCTGCCACAATCGCTACATACATCAAGAATAAAAAGTAAATACAAATGTAGCTTCGAAACATGACAATACAATTCGTGAGATTTCGCCCCACATCGTTTAAAGTCGTCCCTCTCTGTTACACCAGTAACACAAACAGATAAAAACAGCGACATGGAATGAAGCATTTGACGCCATTATTTCGCTGCAGACCAATTGCGTAGATTCTTTTTTGTTATATTACTAATATCGATTCCTTGTTCAAAGAACATATTTAACTACACCGTATTTGTTTTTTGAAAATGGTGCTTGCCAGAGCTCTTTGTTACGCGCAGCATGCTTAACAGGGGTGTTCTGATTTTTAACTATGCTAGGGCTAGCAATACTTGTTTACTATTCGTTGAACACTGTATCTCATAGACCGGGTGCACGAGTAAACATTCGGCATGGAGATAAAATTGAACTTTATGAACAATTCCTTCGTATGTGCATAGTATAGTACCCCGGTTATTTGTCGAGTAGCCTTTTCTGAAGTCTATACTGGTGTTTCAAATTGGATGATGTGGTTGCTGCCCAGACTAGGAAGCAGTAGTTTAAGTTAGGCATAAATAATCCATTTTAATTTTTAATTTTTATGTATGACGGTGGAAGCGTACACACTTTGGCCATGATGCCAACGCACTTCGACAGTGATTTGGTTACATAATTAACTTGCGTGTCCCACAGAATATATTTAAAGAGGATACACGCAATGTTTTTATGCAGTCTACAGTGTTAATAGCTGACTGGCCAAGAATGATTTCGTGTGTCATTTCACGTCGAGATTGTTTTGGTGAAAAAAGCACTGCTTTTGTTTTAGCGACATTAATATGTTAACAATTACGACCACACCATGTGCTTAAACTTTCAGGACATTTATTAGCACCTGACTGAAGAGTTTCGAGCTCTGTTAGTAAACAAAAGGGTTACATCATCTGCATATATGACGTACTTTGGTTGAGTACTAATTTTAACAATGTCGCTTACGTATAGAATAAACAGCAGTGGTCCTAGAATACAGCCCTGAGGTACTCATGTGCTCGTAGTTCTTAGAGACGATATGCTGTCACCAGAGTACTTCAGTACTTTTCTATCACCTATCCGCAACCCACTATCGGTGGTGTTGCAGGTGGGAAGTCAATAGCGAGAGTGCTAGTATTCCACAACGATGAAGTTTTTCTAGTAGTGCGTCATGGTTTAACCGATCCAATGCTTTCGAAAAATCTGTGTATACACCAATAAGAAACTGCTTCTTTTCAAACGTCTGTAGAATTATTCCTTCTGTAGAATTATCCCGCCTGCTCAGATTTGGGTGCACGTTAAAGTTTAAAGTATCCCAGGTGGTCAAACTTTCCGCAGCGTTCCATAGCTGTGCACGCTGTTGGACATAAGGTATTGGGACTTATAATATACAGGAGCCACAAAGCTCAGCACCACCCTCCCTACTTATCTTCTTACCTATGGAACGACATCACACCACCTTAGCTATACTTTGATCACGAAACGAGGTTTTATCAAGTTATGAGAGAGTTAAATCGACATTTCGAACATTTACCGAGAGAGACCGATTTCGCAATGCGAAGCAGACATAAGATGAAGCATATTGAAACACGCGGAAAAAGGGTTTTGTTTTTAGTAAAGCGCATTGTTCAGGCATATACCTCAGATGGGGCTAGCGCTGCAGGTGAAGAATGCTCTCTGCTCGTCCTATATATAGCTATTTTAGAGCCACCGTTATGTTTTTGTTCGTCCTCAAGGTATTATGTGCGTTGGCTCGAAGAATAATAATAATATACTTCTTCCTATGGTTACCGGGACGAGCAGTCTAACGAGCGTAGAAAGATGGGCAATGCGCAGAGACCAACAAAAGGCCTTCTTATATATTATTCGTAAGTATATGCTGTCGCTTACCTAGAACACGAAAAAAAGATTTCATCCTCACTTTTCATGTTAAAGTTATTATGCCGGAACATACCTGACTATTATTGTTATCGCGGCCAGATGTGACCATTTAAAGCGCCGCAAGCGCTTTAAAGTAAAGAAAGTTCCGGCATTCAAGTATGAGCAAATGAAAACCACGGTATTATTTATTGTCTTGCCGATTTCCTTCGTGACAGTTCAGTTAGGGCTACCGGTTGATAGTTACAAACTTCTGTTGAAACTATTTCAATTCAATGATGTCAATAGATAAACAAATGCATGAAACACTCACTAAGGTGCTCGAAAAATCTTACGCCCTGACACAAGTAAAACAATGCACAATGTACAAAAATATCGGTAAATCAATATGATCTACGGAACCAAACATTGCGAAAGAAAGCGCTGAAGCGGTGGTATAAAAGCACAAATAATAATAATAATAATAATAATAATAATAATAATAATAATAATAATAATAATAATAATAATAATAATACCCGCCGTGGTGGTCTAGAGGTTATGACTGCTGACCTACAGGTCACGGGATCAAATCCCGGTCGCGGCGGCCCCATTTTC